GAATGCTAGAGTGCTGCTAGTTGAGCAAATGGAATCTCAAAGGTGTTAAGGCTTGTATATGTAGGGCTTAATACTTGAGTTACGTATTTCTTTTAATGGCAGGGGGTACTTGGGCTCTAGATGGTATTGCTGAATGGGAACAAGACTACTGGAATCGGTTAAGCTATCGCTCTGCATCCGGGTGACTTGTTTGATATTATTCCTTTTGCAGATGCAGAAGGACGAGCCGTGAGGGGCAACGGCGAGGTGAGCACCGTAAGAAGGCGGGTCAGCGTGTGGTGTTAGAGGGAAGATGTGACCGGTAGCTATATGACTAGGTTGCGGTTTGTGTTTTTGTTTGAAGGTGTGAGGCCATGTGGGATCTAGGCACCGAAGCTAGGTGCCTAGCACGGTGCAAGGCACCGTGAGCAGTCAGGCACCGTGAGAAGTCAGGCACGGTGAGCAATGACTAGCGGGCTGATGTAGCAGTTACTTTTCAGGTGTCTTATTGTGGGTGAAGCTATAAACGTGCCTTGTTGTTAGGGTTTTACAGGCAGTACCCACACCTCGACGTGGCAACCTGAAAACAGCAGAGGCAGTGCTGGAAACCGGCCAAGGTAAAGGAGCGGGAGATGGGAATCGGTGTGGGCAGGCTCTCGTTTTGGGTAGTATCTCGGCATGTGTTGTTCGCTTTAATTTTTTTGCAGATGATGCATGTAGTATCAGAGGAGCGAAGCAGCACTTTGAGCGGTCCGAGAAGGCGAGGTGGTTGCGGGCCTGTTTGTGCCCGAGAGTAAAGTATCCTGCTGCAACTCAGCGAAGCTTCTTTCTTTGGTTTGGCAGGTTCTGTGGAGGCTGCCTTTGGAATCGGATGAGCATTTGAGGTGAGCTGGGTAGCGGGGAGGAGGAGCACGGGACTGGTGACTTTTCACAAGCACAATGGTAATTTTGTGTCTCTGAGCATCTTAGTGCCACAAGGAATGACAGCCACAGCCTCCGTCTCTGGAATCCGCACGGAGCAGGCGAGTGGAACGCCATGGCGCTTCCGAGGATGAAGGTGGTGCGGAAGAGGTCGGCGTCTGCTGTCGGGATGCTTACCGCTGGTGGTGTGGGAATTTTTTTGCAGATGATGAAGAGGAACCTGGGGACCGTGGGGAAAGTATCAGCTAGCTGATGTGTATTTTGCCAAGGATGGATTCAGACTCCTGGCTGTCTGCCAGCTGAGTTGAGGGGCTGGCACTCGGAAGGGGGCAAGGAGACAAGGTTGGCCATTGCAGGAAGGGGTTTTAAAGGTAGTGCAGGGGAGAGGTCTCTCTGGGAACAGTGCCCTCCGGGCAGGTAAGGGGGAGCAGGTTTCTCTTCAGCACAATGCCAGCGCTTGCTGGGCAGGGCAGTTCCAGGCTGTGTCTGTTGTTGTGTAGTTTGTGCGGTGTGCTTTTTGTGTCTTACACCTTTGTTGGGTCTCGATGTCGTCTTTGCACCCAAGGAGGGCGGCATGTGCCTCGGGCACCATCCCTAGCATGTCGAACGCCTGTACTTGTCAGCATAGTGCTGATCGGGCGCTTCTTTTTTGGCGTTAAAGGTGTACAGCGTGGATCAGTCTGGCATTTCGAGGTTTCCGACGGTCCTCTTTTGCAGCATCGTTTCCGGCTGCGTGAGCAGCTCTGTTCTCTTGCCGTCCGTTTTTGCGGACTGCGGTTTCTTCCCTGCATCCTTACGTTCTTAGGTCTTGAAGCTGGGCTCGTTGCACTGATGTCCTCTCAGTTTTGAGAGCAACTTTGTGTTACGGGCCGTGACATTCCACTCCTTTACTGGGGCTGCTGTAGAGGCTCCTCACATCGCTGTCACGGTCCCGCAGGTGGTCTTGCTCGACAGCGTCTTCAGTCCAGGTGTTGTTCTTCTTGCCGAGAGATCTCTCTCGTCTTTGAGGCACGTTGTTTGTAGCGTTCTGTGGAGTGTCGGTGTGCGCGTGTGTGTGTTTGGCCTGGAGCTGCCCTGCCCGGGGGGTGTAGAGTCAGGGGGTTGGTGGGATAGCGATAAGTGTCTGTGGTTAATGTGTTGCTGTGCCTAGACCATTGAGGCAAAGGTTGCACAGTCACCTTGGACTGAGTAGCTGAGGTATTAGAGGGAAGAT